ATGCAAGTGCAATATTTTCTAGGAGAAAAGCGGTACATATCTAATGACCATATAAAATAAAGGGAAGACAATTAGCTGAATTCATGCATGTTTTATGGGGTTTTCCCTCCCTTTTTTCTGTTCAAAAGTTTTGCACAATTTGGAGTCTGTTTAACAATTGTCACATGCTCTGAACAGCTCAGGGGTCTGCTGTCTTTGCTATACTTTACTATCCAAGGGAATGCAGTGATTTAGATAAGAACAGTTAAGTAAAGAGTCCAAAAAGCATTAGTATTTGGATTACAATTTGAAACCTAGCCAAACTTTACTAATGCCAGGACTGAAAGTCCCACGTGCCTGAAGACTGGTAATTCTCAAGAGCAACTCATTTTTCCTATTGGCAAAAGAAGTCTTGCACCTTGGATAAGGTCACCTTAGTGAGCAAGTCTAATTCAGTGTGAAGCTGCAGGACTAGACAATATTGAAAAACAGGCCAAGTCATGCAATCAGTCATCTGCTTCAGATAAGCGTTAGGGCATAGCGAGGATCAGACTCCAACAGCCTGGCATCCTTCAACATCTCCCAGAAAAAGTTGCAGAGATCCCTCCTACTGCAAGTCAACATACAGGAGAGAAATATTTCACAGCAGAAGGGAAACTCTCTACTATACAGTTCTGCTTCCTTTAACTACTAAACGCCTAACTCTCCTGTCTCTGTTTTAATCACCAACAGCTATCAAATTTTTAGTACTCTTTTGGCCTCTTTCCTTGGAAATGCAGAGAGCCCTCTGTGGAGTTTAACTCGGTTCCCCTCTCAGACAGCTGTGATTAATTCACTGCTCAAGCTCTTGAGTTAATTCTCTCATTAGATCACTTTCCTTCTTCATGGAATGATTATTCCCACAGGAGAAATGAGAAAGACTAAAACAATATTGTGCTAGTATCTGACACACAGCATCCAGGATGTTTACTTTAAATCAAGTTGCCTGGAATTACTCCAGATCTATGGCTTAAACACAAGAATCTTCTAACCAGTGGAGAACTGCAGCCGCACATCTTGCACAACTTTCCCATTTCACTGGAATTTCTCCAAACTTCCTGCTAGGTAAGCGTACTCAGAACACGAACCTCTCCACACAAGTAGGTCAGATGACAGAATCCTTTCATTGCTGAGGCATATTTTAAGACCAAAAGAGTTTTTTTTATGTTTTGCTATTTTGTATCATACAAAAATGACTTTTCTACTTGATGCCTGGGAAGCTCAGCGCTAGTTCAAGGTGAAGCCTGCCGCACACAACACTAAAATATTGCCAGTGCTCTTGAAATCACAAGCCGTCATCTGTGTATTATTCACTGGGAGCGTCACATTCTCTCTGGAGGCTCTTATAGCTTGGACACGCTCCCCTGCTTTTGCTGCCTGTCAGATGGCTCTCCTGGATGTGGCTGGTCATTGGAGGATATCACCCCACTGAGCTGGACTCTGGCACAGTCTGCTCGGTTTTCGGTACCTTTGGGGCAATGTTTTGGGTAGCTGGGTACTTGGGAGAGTGTCTCAATACCCAGTTCAAGGATTGGTAAACATGTCTGGACTGAGAACTCTGATAACTGGCAGTTACATTAAAATCACCCTTACCTGAAGCCACAAAAAAAGTGACCATAATAAATGCACTTAGTTAATAATTTCAAAATAGACAGAAAAGTTCACAACAACTTATAAAGGGAAGGGCATGGTGGAAGGGGAAGGGCATAACATGGTACTTCAGTGGATCTTTAAAATTTCCCTGTTAACAGTTCAGCTGACGAGTGGACAGAGACATCACCACTTTGCTGATGGTGTGAAAACTTGAAGTTTTCACACAAACACCTAAATGCTGGGGCTGCCTATGCAGAAAGACTAGCTTTTGGGGTGCCTCTTGCTCTCCATCTTTGGGTTAATTCCATTTCAGATCTCTATCCTACACGCACTCACATACACATAAACATCAGGATTCATTAACCAAAGCAGGAATGAAAGCAATAGCTCCCAGGCCTGACGCACACCTGCCCAGGGACAGCATTCTCATGCTTGGCTGAAGTCTGGAGAATGTGTTAACTGACTGTGAAGCACAATGCCTTTTCCCACTGAGATGGGAAACGTTCAGACCTCGAAGGGAACCTTCTTTACCCATTGCAGATTACATTTCACATAAACATGTAAACTGACAACAGGTTTATACAGGCTTCTAATTAGAATCAGCGCCTGTGGCTTGTTAGAGGCTTCTCACTGAGAATACAGATGATAACCAGTCCCACTGGGGTGCTAATGGATTATCCACCACTGTCTCTTCGAGAAAAACCTTGAGAGTAACCAGGAAGCCTCTTCTTTTCTGTGTTGCATGGATGTGCAGAACTCCAGTAGCCTCTCTCATCTTACCCCTGCCAGGGGTCACAGACTCATCATGAAGCACGCACCACCACCCCTCCACTGGACAAGCTGTGCATCGGCACAGACAACTGATCTGCTCCATTGTCTTGTACATGGAATAGCATCCAGGGTAAATAAGACATTTGGGCAAGTGTAGGCCTTAACAGAGGGAAAGTGTCTTGGAAGCGTAACAGATGTGGCTGAGTGCACTAGTCTTCATAAACTCTTGGTGGCACTGTACTTCTGCAATCCCAGCCTCCCTGGGAGATACCTGAGTTCAAGTCCTTATGAAACTTTGGGAAACGGAACAAAAATGGTTGTATCCTGTGAGGGTTTTATCACCCTAGCCACCAAAACAAAAAGCTCTTTTCCTTTTCGGCGATGCTCTCCAGCATCAATCAAGCGCGTTAAAAAATTATGAGTAGTAACTGTAGTGGCTAACAAGAGACCAGACGAAAGACTACAGCTGAAAAGAAAGACTGCAACTGACTGTATTACTGAAAGATTCTAACAGCAGACTTAGCACAGAGGACAAGGCGCAGAGAAACACTACAATTTGGAACAGGAAGCAAAGATTACCCACCTATTGGAACTGTAGGGAAGTCTGGCCTGGCACAATTTGATTGATTCTGATGGAAAGTGGCTCCCTATCACAAAACATCCCACAGGGTTTGTCATACCTACAAATAGCCATGGCCTCAGTTTTGTGTCTCTTCTGCAAGACAGAACTTCAGCAGCCAAGGATCTCAAGGATCACTTGGGGGTACTGCTTCAATATGAAGTCAGAAGGATCCCCAAAGCTATAGGTGTAATGGACATCCTTCCACAATCATAACCCTCTTCTCAGTACAAGCCACAGAGCACTGTGGTTGCCACATGTGTGGAGAGGTCTGACTGGAGGCAGAAAAGCAAAAGCGCACTTTCAAATCGATCATTTTTCTTTTAGGTTCTTTGAGACTAAAAACCCTCTGTCTTTTTGGAGCGGAAAAAATCTACCTATGATGACAGAAAACTGCAACATCCACACACAGCAAGACACCTTTTAGATACCCATTTTTGTTGCACATTCAAGAAGCACCATTCTGTAGAGACAGCACCATCTGCAGGATTTGAGAGAGGAGCACAGATGTCTTATTCAGCTAAGAGGAATTTTTTCCAGGCAGCTGAAAAGGTTTTCCAGAGAAGCTTTTGGCCAGGGAAACCTAAGCAGCCATGGGGCTCTCTGGGATAACATAAGGAGGATGGCAGTCTTCTTGGGGCTCTGGCACAGTGCAGGGGTTCTTCAAGAGAAAGCCTGAATATCTTGTCCAGTTGCTCTCCCTGAGGAGTCTTGGTATTATGATGGCAGCACTTCTGTGCAGGCACAGGCAGTGGGACAAACGGAGGAGCAGAGGGCATGCCTTCTTTGTCACCTCTCCCATATGTCAGGCACCACTCAGCTGGCTTATTGGCAAATGTCATGGTAGGAACTTATTGAATTAAACAGAAGACATTTTAATACCTTCTTTACAATGAGCTATCATCCTCGGTGTTAGCTAACCAAAAGGTTCCACATTACACAGTGCAACTTTAAACTGCTAAATGCAGTTTTATTCTTGAAAATCTGCAGCTTGTTTTAGGAGCTGCACAATGCCATACTGGAGCACCAGCTCCATCTTGTACAGCTGCTACCTGGTTATAAAGGAAAAATGCTGAAGCACTGCCCTCTTCTGGAGACAGAACCATTCAACCACATATAATACAGTACACGACAGGCCTTCAGGGCAAAATCAAGTCTCAGCAATGCCATTCTGTGCCTGTGAATTTGGCACTATGGCGTGAAATCCTAATACTGGCCAAGTGTCTAACAGCTGACATCAGCCTGTGACTGAGCCAATGACATTTAGGAGAATTCTAAGCCTTTTACTCACAGGCCACTTCCAATGAATAAAATGTCAGCGCAAGAGAGGTCTGATTTCTTTTACAGATTCATCAATGAAAGAAAAATCTCAAAGCATTTATTAGCCTAGCAGCATGAATTCAACTGCACATGCTTGCAGAAACCTTACTTATCTATCTAGATCTGTATTTTCTATGGGCATTTTTTTAAGATCAGCCTGAAAGGTCATTCTACCATTCTGCTGTTAAGAATGAAATGCTGATGAACGGGGAAACCAACAGCCCCTAGAGTATCATGATTCAGATTCCTTCTGCAAGCACTTCTAGAAGCTATTACAATGAAACGCAGAATCACGAGAAAAGCCTGGAGGCCCAAGACCATTGTAACTATAAGCAGACATGTTCTTCTTTCCCAGTCTCGCAGTAAATAGATACCTAAGTGTTCCAAGAGGCTGATTACCTTTTGCTTTGGCTGCATGTCATGTTACTGGAATGGTTGTAGAAAACTCAGGAAGGATACCTTTTCCCTCAGAACCAGTGCTGGCTTTGCCAGACCTCAAGAATGAGTGTGTGTAACTCAGCGTGTGATGCTCTTCCCTCAGTCCGTGCTCAGGCATGCAACGACTCAGTGAATTACAGATACTAAGATGGAAGTACGCGCTACCTCAGTACGGCGCCGATGCCCCACATGGTACTACAGGGCTCTGAGGTGAAACACTAGCGTTGGAAAGAGGGCCCACATGTGGTAGGATGCTATAGAGAAAGAAGGTCTGTGGACTGGCTCTGCCTATAGTCAGTGCTAGCCCTGATGCCACACTGCTGAGGTGGGGACAAGTGGTTGTCCTCCGTCTCTGAAGCTGCCTCAGACAGATGGTAGCTGTGGTTGTGTCCCTAGCACTATCAGGTTTCTTCCTCACAAGGTCAAATTAAGGGGGCTAAGAACCCAGTTCAGTGAGGAAAGGTTAAGAAGAGAGATTGTGAAGGCAACAGATAAAGTGAACCCACACCTGCTACTCACCTGTTCCCTCAGCACTAGGCCTAGGGCCACTTGATGAACCTAGAAGGAGACCAACTTAATCACATATAAGAAGGCACTGCCTTAGAGAGCAGGCAGAGGTGGCTCTAGGGGCCAGCGGGGCCAAGTGACGAGGCGAACACAAAGACAAGAAGGTCAGGGAGAGGCACTACAACCAAGGCGGAGACACCTCCTTTGGCCGCCGAGAGGGCAGGGCGCAGAGCAAACAGGCCAGCTCCGCAGGCCATCTCTGACGAAGCCCTCCCGCCAACGGCGCGCCGCCGCCC